CCTTCACACATGTTGTTATTAATGGAAGAAGTCTCACAACAGATTTCCATACTCTGTGAGTGTGTGTGTGTGTGTGTGTGTGTGTGTGTAAATATGTATCATGCACTTAAGTCAATTATGATGTGCTTATAGATCACTGTAGTTCCTTTAAAGCTTGATGCAAAGAGAAAATCTTGTTTGTCAACAAAAACATGTGTGAAGGATCTCGGCGCTTGAATATTTAATTCTTGAAACTTAACAAACTTGGCTTTTCCTGCATCCCAAAAATAGACTTGAGTGAAAGAATAATCGCTCCCAAGAATGGCATACTGATAATTCTTTATCTGAAGAGGCTGGAACACCATGGACCCCCTGGATGGCATTCTTTGTAAATCCAGAAATTTGGAGCCTGTCCATTTCATGACTTTGGAATCCCCAATGAATCTTGTTAGGCAAACGTAAATATCTTCCTTCACTTTGAAGTGTTTGACAGAGTAAACATCTTCCATGTCTGGAATATCCACTGGGTCGGCGAAATTGTTTGTGCCCCCGTTCCACTGATACAGGACCGGGTGTTGAGAACTGCTTGAGATGATCAGGTGAGGCTTGGTGGCTATTTCAAGATATTCCACGTCAGTGTCTCTGTACCATTCGTGCAAAGATTGGTCGGAATAAAACCCATTCCCATTCCATTTGTAGATAGTGGTGATGCCCGCTTTCGAACTATCTGCTATTGCAAAATATGCGTCCTTAACGATGGTGAATGTTTCGATGTCGTTCGGTTTTCTGATCTTAAGGATCTCAATGTCCTGGATTTTAATGAATTTATTGGCGTGAATGTCTCTCTTGTAAATATGGGAGCCACCAAAGAGCTGGGCAACAATGATGTACAAGCAATTCTCGACAATAATCGGCTTACAGACAACCACCGAGGTCCCTGCACAAAGATCGACAAAGCGTGTCATCAACTGGCATTACGATAAGGCAACACAACGATTCAGAGAAATGAGCTGTCAATACCTGTGATGTTATCAAAGTTCCTGAATGTCCCTTCCACATGGTCCCATTGCAGAAAGATACACTTTCCCATAAAAGGCTGAGCGATAACCACGTATTCATCATTCATGAATGAGAATGTGTCCACTGACAGGGACTGATACGGCAGCTTTCGAAACACGACAAATTCTGAAAAAGCACATACTAAAAGTTGGTATTTACTCCTTTGAATGCTATTGTAAAAAGTAGATTGCTTGCTCAAGGCAGTGGCGTTTTGTAAAATCTATTTCCCCTTTTTATTAGACTTTAGTCAACAAGATCGCGCGAGCGATACAGGGTGTACCTAGATACACCCATGTTACACCCATCCTCCGCGAGCTGCACTGGCTCCCNTTAGCCCCAGGCCTGTCGGAACAGCCAGGTTTTAAGGGCTTTACGGAAGGCCTGGAGGGTCGTGAGGGTCCGAATCTCCACGGGGAGCTCGTTCCAAAGGGCCGGAGCAGCCACAGAGAAGGCCCTCCTCCGGGTAGTCGCCAGTCGGCGCAAGATTTAATTTTGAGAAGATAAAGTAAACAGTAAAAGTAAAGTAAACAGTAGTTGGGTTACAAGAGACTTTTGTGGGGTATATGATCAGAGAACGTGGATTTACCATGCCAAGCTAAACGTTGTGCAATTGCAAAAATAACAGCAGATTACAATTCTTAGTGTCAAATCATGTATTTTTAGAACCCCCCCACTGAACAAAAAATTGCAAAAGTTAATTTTTACCCCATTAAATGTTACCCCTTACTGTATAAATCTGTCCATGTCTTTGTCTGTGTGTAGTATATATGTGTGTGCATACATACACATGTACACACATACATATAGTGATATGAAATTAAATATATTGCAATGCATATTTGATTTGTTAATAGGACATGTAAATGTTTATTGCTTTCAACTCTTACCAACTTCTTGTTTTCAATCGTTTCAAGTTTATTTTCTCCTGTGACTTGGCACATCACAATCAGCTGAGCATGCCTGTGCTTGCAATACCAGTATTTTTTTCTACTCTGTTGTATAACTGTATTCAGGATCAGCGTATAGGAAAAGTGTAATTTGATCTCCTTGGCACCGTAAGCACAAGTGACTCAGCCTTGGGAAGTTTTCTGCATGGAAATTAATAAGTCAGAATCTTTGTGCATTAATTTGAAAAGCAGCATGGAGAAATGCAACGTTCTCAAGTGGGAGATGGGTTGTGGGAATAAACATTAGAATGGTAGAAAGCCTCGATGGGGGCAGCTTGAGTTCCACATGGTACTCGTGTTACCCCTTTTTCCCTTTTAACACATCAATGAATATGGCTTGACAAGAATTCTCCCTCTCCCAAAGGATTCAATTTCCTTATAAGTGTATGTGTATGTGTATATATATATATATATATATATATATATATATATAT